TTTTTCCGAGCCGTCTGAGCACTCCGCCTCTTCAGACACTTCCTCCCAGTCAGGGGACGAAAACCCCGATCCTCCGGTGGAACCCTTGCCGCCTCAACTAGTGGGCGATGATCTTCCAATCTCCCCTTTGGAAGACTTGAAATCCTACAGTGATTTCATCAAGCGGATGGCTAACACGCTCACTCTGTCTACGGCACAGCCCCCGCCTACTGTGACAGACTCCGTGTTCGATATCGTCCAGATGGACACCTCTACACCGATTGCCTTACCGATGACTTCAGTTCTTCTTCAGGTGGCTAAAGTCCCATGGTCTCACCCGGCATCTACACCCGTCTCGAGCCGGAGGGTAGGTCATATGTATAAAGTGCAGGAACAGGGTGCTGAATTTCTGTTTACCCACCCTAAACCTAATTCTTTCGTAGCCACTTCTTCCTCCAAGGGCAGACACAGTCATTTCACCCCCTCTGAGAAAGAAGGAAGGAAATTTGATTCGTTTGGAAGAAAATTTTATTCTGCGGGAGCACTTGGCATCAAGACCTCAAACTATACAGCATGTATGGGGAGATATCAGTTTGCTCTTTGGGAGCAGATGTCAGAATTTATTGCAACCCTCCCTGAGGATGCCAACCATCAGGCTTGCAGGATTCAGGAGGAGGGAATGCTTTTGCTAAGCATCAGCTCAATGCAGCTAAGCACACATTGGATGCGGCCGCCAAAACGCTGACTTCAGGAGTTACCCTCTGACGTCACGCCTGGTTGCATTCTACTACCCTATCGCAGGACACCAGGACTCTCATGGAGGACCTTCCATTCGAAGGTGAGGGTCTTTTCAGTGCCATGACTGATACGGTCCTGCAAGACCTAGACAAAAGTATAAAGGCGTCGCGAAATTTAGGAGTCATGTCGGCTCCTAAACTATTCAAAGCGAAATACTGGAACAACCCAAGGTCTTGCAGTTCCTCTCTTAAGTTGTCCCTGGAAACACAGTGGCGATGCTCACCCACTGTGCCCTCCCACCCTTATGAGCAACAACCATAATTCTCATCTGTCTCTCAGCCTAAGGCTAAGACTCCGAAAGCTTCCAAGCAGAGCCTTTGACTCCTGTCGTCCCATCCCTACCTGCCTGTCTCCCTACCTGGCTGCTTGGCAGCGAATAACATCAGACCGGTGGGTCCTTTCCATCATCAAAAAGGGGTACCTCATAGAATTTATCCAGGTACCTGAGGCCCCCAACTTCATAATTACTCCACCATCCAGTATGCTCCTGGAAGAAATCCAGAACCTTCTTCAAAAGGACGCTATAGAACCAGTCCCGACAGCACAGCGTCAACACAGGTTCTACTCCCGTTATTTTACGGTCCCCCCAAAAGATGGAGGACTCTGTCCTATTATGGACCTCAGGGGACTCAACCAGTTTATCTCCTATTGGAAATTGTGAATGACATTACAAAGCATTCTCCCCTTTCTCAGCAAAGGTGTCTGGATGGTAACTCTGGACTCGCAAGACGCATATTTCCATGGAACTATCCACCCATCTCACAGGACGTTTTTCGGTTTTTCAGTTGCAGAAGGCCATTTTCAGTACAAAGCCTTTCCTTTTGGACTCTCAACAGCACCCAGAGTCTTTACAAAAATGATTATTGTCATCGCGGCATACCTCCGTCTCCAAAGTGTACTGATCTTTCCGTACATAGACGATTGGTTGCTGGTAGCAAGCTCCAGAGAGACTCTGCTCAACCATATTGATTTAACGCTGGTCACCTTAGATGCGTTAGGCCTGAGGGTGAACCCGAAAAAGTCGATGCTCCTTCCTTCATTGAGAGTCCAGTTTATCGGAGCAATTTTGGATTCGACTGTCTGCTGAGCCTTTCTCCCTCCCAAAAGGAGGAAGATATTATTGCTCTCATCAACCTGATAAAACACAGGGAGATGCATCAGCAAAGGAGATTCAACGGCTCTTGGGTCTGATGGCCGCCACCACAGCAGTACTTGTCTTCGCCAGACTACAGATGAGACCACTTCAGCTGTGGTTCCTCAAACGTTTCCATCCACAGTGGCAGCCCAATCGCAACGGTTTGTGCTACCTGTGCAAGTGCTGAATTCCCTACAGTGGTGGGAAACCCCAGACAACCTCCTGCAGAGAGCCCCATTTCTTGCACCCAGCCCCGAAATGACCCTAACCATGGATGCATCCCTGTGGGGATGGGGGGCTCATCTCCAAGGTGTGTGTGTGGGTGCCAAATGGGAACCTCATGTGGCCCACAATCACATCAACTTCCTGGAACTGCTCGCCATCCAGTATGCCCTAAGGTCCTTTCACCACCTTGTGGCTCACCATACGGTGGCAATTCTGACAGACAACACCACCGCACTGTGTTACTTGAACAGGCAAGGCGGGACAGCGTCCAGGGGACTCTATTGACTGGCCCAGGAAATTTGGACCGAGTGTCAATCCCGGGGTGTGTTAATCATTGCTGCTCACCTGCCAGGATCGCTCAATGTGCATGCAGACCTTCTGAGCAGAGGAGGCGCATCCCTCCACAATAAATTTTCCACAGTTGGGGTCACCCAGAAATCGATGCGTTTGCGATGCGTCAGAATGTGAAGTGTCGTCTGTTCTGTTCCAGGGCGGGACAGGACCCTCTGTCTCTGGGGAGCGGCCTTCTGTTTCCATGGTCCCACAGGTACATGCACCTGTTCCCACCAATTCCTCTACTTACCAGAGTGCTGAGCAAGATCATGAAGGAACAACCTCAATGCATCCTCGTGGCACCATGGTGGCCACGTCAGCACTGGTTCCCAACTCTACTCCACATGTCCCGGGGCACATACATACATTTTCCCCGGGCACCAGATCTCCTCCTGGCTCAGGAGGGCAGAGTGCTTCACCACGATGTACCACACCTCAAACTCACAGCATGGAGGATCCCCTAGCACAGCTCAAAAATGGGATAGACCTTGTTCTGTTGAGCTGTCAGAAGCCAGCTACACGCGCTTCCTATGAAGGGAAGTGGAAGAAATTCCTGTCTTACCTCGTTGGGTTTACCACCGCCCCCTACGGACTTGAGGATAGTTTTCGGATTCTTGTTGACCCGCCTGGACTTGGGTCTTAGTTGCTCCTCTTTAAGAGTCTATTGAGCCGCCATTTCCGCCACTCATCCTGCGGTGGACGACTATTCCATTTTTTCTCACCTGCAGTTTTTGTAGGGCCTCACTCGACTCTTTCCTCCGGCTCGTGGGCCGACTCCCTCCTGGGACTTACCTCTAGTACTGTCTAAATTAACGGGCAAATCGTTTTGAGTCCATGACCACGTCTAGTCTGCAGCTTCTCTCATGGAAGACTGCCTTCCTAGTAGCCATTACCTCGGCAAGACAAGTGAGTGAATTGCCTGCACTCCATTGCGATTCTCCGTATTTGGTTTTTCACCATGGTGGTGTCACCTTAGCCCCGGATGTCTCTTTCCTGCCCAGGGTTGTTTCCGAGTTCTATTTGCGAGCAGACAGTGCTCTTCACGTTTTCCCCATCCCCTACGAGCGACAAGGAATGCCATCTTCATACTCTGGACGTCAAGAGAGCCATACTCTTCTACCTCGATAGAACAAGGTCATTCCGTCAGTCACCAGCCTTGTTCGTCTCCTATAGCACACCTGTGCAGGGGAAGAAGCTTTCTTCGCAACATCTATCCATGTGGATTATGGAAAACATCAAACTGTGCTACTTACTGGCCAAACGGCTACTTCCTGGCTTGCTCCGAGCGCATTCCACCTGGGCGGTAGCCACGTCCACAGCCTTCCTGAGAGGTTCGTCGCTCACTGACATCTGTCAAACAGCAACCTGGGCTACCCCCCACACGTTCGTGAAGCATTACACCCTGGATGTGCGTCTTCATCAGCGTTCTGTGGTGGGACAGGCAGTGTTGCAGGTGGTGCAAGTCTAGGACCTTGGTTCCCTCCTCCAAGTAGGCCTGTTTTTGCTTGCTAATCTCCCAGAGGTGTAATGCACAGAGACCACAAAGAAGATAAACAGGTTGCTTGCCTGTAACCGATGATCTTCCAGTGGTCATCGGTGCATTCACACCACCCGCCCTCCTTTTCCTCTGCTTTCGGTCCTCTCCTTTTTATTACTCTGAGACTGATGGCAGTGGTCAGAAAGAACTGGCGGGATCGTCGTGCCCCTCCCTTGGTCATGTGCAGTGGGGCTGGCGCAAGGCTGGGGAGCGGGCGCAAAAATCCCTTTCACTTTTCAAGAGGAACCGATCGAGGTCGGCGCAGGCGCACTATATCCCAGAGGGTGTGAGTGCACAGATGACCACTCGAAGATCATCAGTTACAGGTAAGCAACCTGTTTTTCAGTCCTCTTCCTGACATGCTAGCGTTCCACCTATAAATCGCTTCTTTAATATGCGGAATCATTCAAGCATTGTGTGCCCTTCCTGCCAATTTGAAAGAAGGACTTGTGAACGTTTAAATTGGTTTGGAAACCTTTGTAGAAGGAGGGGTTTAAAAGAGGCAAGATTATGTTAGTATTACTAGGGGAGAAGTGAAGTTAAGAGTTCAGAAGATAAATGAATGGAATAGGGGAAGCTGACCAGAATACAGAAGGAGGCAGTACTTTGTGGCAATGGATTGAAAGCTGTCCTGGAAAAGATGTTGCTGAGCAGACCAACACAACTACCCATTTTAAACTGTCTTCATAGAAGATGGCAGTATGTATGAAGGCTTCCTAGTAGCCTGAATGGGGCCCGAGCTGGGATTTGAATGTTGATCGTTCAAGTCAAGGCTCCAGAATTCTATCCTTTTGTGAGTCGCTGCTCACTTCTTCAGATACAGCGACTCATGAAAGTTTATCCCCCTGCCACATATTTTGTTAAATCTTTAAGGTGCTACTGGACTCTGGCTCTTTTCTACTGCAACAGACAGACTAACACGGCTGCCCATCTTGATCTATTTTAGTGGGTAATGTTGGACTTCAGTGGGGACAGTCTGGGACTGAATTCCCAATGCGTTGTGAAGCTTGTCGGTGGCCAGCTTAGCCTACCTCGTAGGGTGGTTGCGAAAACAGAGATGGGAGAACCACCCTGTATGCCAGGGGTCCCCAAAGTAGTGCCCAAGGGTGCCATGCTGCCCACCACCTCTTCTGTTGCCCGCCAAGTGTTTTAAGGAAGTGGGTTGTGCCAGGTAGGGCTATTTTCCAGCAAGGCTCCTGATTAGCTATTGGAGATCTAATTGGCTGCGCAGGTTTTTGTAAATGTTACTTTGGCAGCAGCTGTCGCCACAGCACCAGGATCTGCCACTGTGTTAACTGAAGTTGAGCCGTGGCAGCCATTTTGTGGCTTGCTCCACCTCCTATGGCAGCCATTTTGTGGCTGTGCCTAACCCATGCCGTGTCAGAATTCCAGATGTGGCCTCGGGCTCACAAAGGTTGGGGCAGGGCCTGATGTATTCTGGCATCTTGGGGGAAACGGCAGCTTAACATATGTGATTTGTGCTTTCTCTCTCTCTTAACAGGTGTTCTTGCCGGCCATGACAACCGAGTCAGCTGTTTAGGAGTCACCGACGATGGCATGGCTGTAGCTACAGGGTCTTGGGACAGTTTTCTCAGAATCTGGAATTAATTTGTCAGCCGGAAACACACACACTCACAGACAGACACGCACACCTTTCTCCACCAAGACCTGGAGGGATCTATGCTGCAGCCTATTGCTGTGAAATAACATTTCTACCTTGTATTTACAGGTGAAGTTTTTCTACTCACTGATAATTGCATAAATAGGCTTTCTGTAAATGACGTTTAAAAACAACAACAACAAAATCAAGTGAAGAAGAGGTGGGTGGGAGAAAATCGGTGACTTTTTTTTTTAAAGAGAAAAAGGGGCGTGGGGGGGGGCAGTACATGTGTTAATGGTGACCGAAGCTAAAAGAGCCAGAGTCCGTCTTGTGTTTGGTGGTTTGGCTACATTTGTCCTGGAGGGATTTCTGCTTGTGCCCGAGTCCTGCTACTCCTGTTATCCCCCCCTCCCCTTTTTTTGTACATAACTGAATATACACATAGCAGCCAATCATGTAACATTTTGTCTGTAAGTAAGGAAACAATGCATTTTTTTAAGGAACCTGCATTTATATAGCTCTGCGTTTAACCTGAGATGTCTCCACTTCCTCCCAAATTCTGCGACGGATCAACTTAGATTACTGTTTTAAAACGTGGATTTCTTTTCTTTTTAATTTTTATTTTCATTTTGGTCGTTGTTTTTTGTTATTTTCTAATTCTTGGTGAATTTACTGTAGATAAAGTGTGAAGTCGATGATCTGTTTGTGGTTTCTATAACAGAAGGTGTTTTGAATTACTGCTTGATTTGTGTTTGTTTTTCAAAAAGAAAAAAGAAAAGGTCCCAATGACTCCTTGCAAAGCCTAGCGCCTTACTTGCTTGTTGAACTATTTATTGGAAGAACGGGGCTTGATCCTGATTGCCGGTCGGTTCCGGCAAATGCACTTTCAACCAAGGAGTGCAGGCACCAAGGAGCATCAGAGGTCATTGGACACATCTTTCCAGAAATAAGAGTCAAAACGTTTTTGGTAGGCAGCTTATGAGCGTCCTCCCGGCGGCCTTGTGCCACGGCTTGGCCCGGATGTTGAGATGCAGATGGTGTGGCCAAATGGATGAGCCGTTCTTGACAGGGTTCTTTCTTTGAATGAGATACCCGTAAATGAGAACGATCTGACCTACTTTTTTTAGAGCAGTGTTTTCTGTGCTGGAGAACCTGTCTCGTATGGGATCGAGTCTGGAGCCAGTTGAAGCTTTTGGCAAAGACTCTTAACTACATTTGGGGCATGCCCCATCTCAGAACGCTCCTGGGGGGATTTAGCCCACTCTCCCACAGCAGGCGAGGCGTTACTTAGAAACTTTTCCTGTAGCAGAATAGATCTGCACGTGCAGAGAAATGTTTAAAACGTCTAGGAGGTATTCAGATGTGTGGCTCTCCTATTGCTGGGAATTCTGTGGTGGTCCAATTCTGTGAGGAGGGCAGCCCTATCCCAAAGCATTTGATTCGACTCTTAGAAATCCTCTCCTGGTTATGCCAGGCTTGCCACGACAGGAAACGCCAAACGTTCACTGTAAGACTGCTGAGTTAGGCGGGAGGGTCTCTCCAGACATTCCACAGCAGAACAAAGCTGCCTTTTTATGCGCATGCGACAAGAGTGTTTGTATCGTGCCCCACAGCATTAGCTGTACGTGTGGTCTCACTCCCCCCCCCCCCCCCGCAATCTGTCTCTAGAATTTTGTATCCCGTTTTTTAAGCTAGTCATTGCTGTGACCCGGGTCTGAACCTTTCCTCGGGAACCAGGTGCCGTGCTCAGGCATCGCAGTGTGAGACAGCCCCTGCACCTCAAATCCTCAGCTTCTCCGGAGATTTCTGTAGGAAATGAATTAGCGAGTCCAAGGGGGTATGGTTGATTTGGAAATGACAAAAAAAAAAGACTCAAATTTTGGTGCTGGTTAAAACGTGCCTATGCTCGTAGCAGGCATTTGAAAGGAATCGGATTCTTATTTGAAGTATTAGTGTCGGGGAAGAAGGTGCCTTCTTGCTAACGTGCGTGAAGAGGCTGAAAGCGGGAAATGCTGACAAGACCCTTCCCCTTCCCACGCACACCACCAGGTGTGTAGGGGGAGACCCGGGGAGCTCTTAATGTATCCCTCAGCCTGTTAGCAAGCACCAAAGGCGTCTCTGTCTCTAACCTCGCCAAACGGCTTTGTTGCTGAGCCATCTGTTTTATCAAAGTTTTTCTGCCAAATCTTATCCCTAATTCCAGCCCTTTCCGGGTTGTCCGTGTTTACGGTGTGTGTGTGTGGGGCGTGAGTGTCCATTCATGTGCCAATCGTCACGGATTTGGTAGCTATTAAAAAAGAGACCAGCGCATTTTAAACAGGCAGGAGCGTATTCCTGTAAAAAGGAATTAAAAAAAAAAAAAAGACTACTCCATGTTCAGGACCAAATTTGCAAAGATGTAGCTGTGTTTTTCAGATGGGATTAGAAGTTTCCAATGGCTAGGCAAAGTGCTTCTGCTTGTATCGATGTTGATCTCCCCCCCCCCTTCAATTCAAACCTACATAAGAGCAGCTGTGGCGGGGCTCTACTGGTAGCAGGAGCTCCTTTGCATATTAGGCCACACACCCCTAGTGTAGCCAATCCTCCAAGAGCTTACAGAGCTCTTCTTACTGGGGCTACTGGAAGCTCTTGGAGGATTGGCTACACTAGGGGTGTGTGGCCTAATATGTAAAGGAGCTCATGATACCAGTAGAGCCCTGGGCGGATCAGACCCAATGGGAGATCTAGTTCAGCATCCTGTCTCACATGGTGACCAACCAGATGTCTCCTCAATCGCTCCCTGTTGCTGCTCTGGTGTTCAGAAGGCTATACTGCCTCTAAACGTGGAGGTTCTATTTTGGTCATTGTGACTAATAGCCAGTGACGGACCTCTAAACACCCCTCCTTTTGAAGCGAACCATCAGAAAGTTCACCCCAGACTTTGTGGGAACCACTTTGCATATCTATATCTCTATATTCAAAACCCACCCAAGTCCTATACTGCCTCTAAACGTGGAGGTTCTATTTTAGTCATTGTGACTCATAGCAAATGACGGACCTCTAAACGCCCCTCCTTTCGAAGCGAACCGTCAGAAAGTTCACCCCACTTTGCATATCTATATCTCTATATCCAAAACCCACCCAAGTCTGGAATCTTTCAAGTGGAAGGAGGGAGACTGCCACGAAAATGGGCAGCAGACATTTGGTGGAGTTTTAAAATATGCCGTTTGTTGTTCTGCTAGCAGTTTTGTGCGAGTTCCTAGGAAACATTTTGTATCCACGGCATGGTTCCTGCGGTGACTCTCACTGGGCATGTGTAGTTGAATGGGAGCCTACTCTGCCCTACTTCCAAGGCTGCCAGAGTGGCATATGTCATCACAACAGCCCTGTGGGGTAAGCTAACCCAAGAGATTGACTGGCCCAAGATCTCCCATCAGGCTTCGCAGCTGACTGTGGACCTGAACTTCAATTCCCCAGTTCCGGTTTGGCTACTCTGGCCGCTAGACCACAGCGACCCATAGCCTTTCTGGTTCGGTTTGTCTCACACAGTCTGTCCTGAGCACAAATGTTGAGAATTTAACTCATCCGTCGATATTTTTTGATGTCTGCACCTGAGATTGTCACTCTAGGAACCCACCCCGTGTGGATATAAACTGTCGAATCCCCACAAGAAGGTCTAACTCGATGCCTTCTCTGGTCTCGGTTTTGCCATATGCACTGTATTGCTGGTATCTAGTGCTGTAAATTCCAGTGCCCATGGTGTTGCTTTGTAGTGTGTGAGTGTGCATTCCACAGGCGTGTAGATAGCCGCACATCTGTAGAGAGTGGTCCGTAGTTTGCACGTACGTAGCTTTCTTGATCCCCCCCCCCAAAACAATACACACGTTAGCAATTGCCTGTTTAGAATTCTCACTGAAAGTCTGGGTGAGGCGTGTGTGCTTTTTAAATTACACGGCATCATGCATGTGCCGAAATGATTTCACAGTTTTTTTAAGTGGAAGTCAAATATAAAGGAACTCTGTAGGTTGCTGTTCCAGACAGTCCTTTTCCCCCCAGCTGGATACTAGTCCCAATGAGCAGGTCACTGTGGTTGTAGAGTTGTCTTGGTGGCTGCGGGCTTGTTCAACGAAACCTTCGTTGGCACAAGGCGTGTGCATTTGTCTCTGGTGGAACATACGAGAGCACAGCTGCCTTCTCGAATCCTCCCATGAGCTTTAGTGGGGATGGTGGAGGAGCCGAATGGTCTTTGATGGGGAACTTGTCTTGGTAGTATCGTAGTGGTTTCCCAAGCAGGAGGATACTCATCTTCAGTTGCTCAGAAGTTACTGCCGGACCGGCACTGGAACAGCCTCGTTTCCGATATAACACAAATAAAGCAGAACACGTAAGAACTCACCTGCCAACTGTGGGTTCAGATAACTGAGACGAGCTTTGCCAAATGTGCGGTTTGAGAAGTGCCCATTTTTTGCCATTTCCCCCTAAACCACTTCGTTTTGATCATCTGGACCTGGAGTTAAGAAAGAGTGGGAACTCATGCCTCGCAGTTGGGCCGCTTTCGAGTAAAGGTGAGCTGTTTGCCAGGATCCCGATGACTCTCTTGGTCCTCGGAGAAGTCTTTCGGTTTTATGTCTCTGTGTTCTTGGTTCTAGGACTGATCCGCCGTGGGGATCTTTGTGGAGTGTCGCATAGTGGCCCACCCGTGTTGTGGTGGGAGAGCTTTCTCATTGGCAGCCTCCGGCAGCCAAAACTCACTGCTTGGCGGCTCCGGGGGAAGCGATGGGACGAGAAGGCAGGAAGCGTGCTGTAAGAGTGCCAGCGCACTTCCTGAAGGTAAATCCTAGCCAAAATGCTAGGGGAGGAGCTGTGGTTCCAGCGGCAGAGCCTCCGCTTTGCAAGCAGAAGGCCCCCCCGGGTTCAGTCCCTGGCATCGCCAGACGAAATGGCCAGGCAGTAGATGCCCCCTTTTGACCAGGTTCTTTCCATCGCAAGACTGGTTAAGATGACCTCTTTTTAAAATCTGTGTTCATGATGGATTTAATGGAGATTGATATATTTTTTTTTTTACCGAATGGGAAGCAACCCAACATCTGCTTTTGTCTTCAGCTT